GGGCCGGTGACGGCCGGGGAGTCCAAGGAGCTGGTCACGCAGCAGCTGCCCAACCTCATGAAGGTGCCTGCGGGGCGGGGGGCCAGAGGGAGGGGGCGTGGGGCTCGGGCGGGACTGTGGGGAGCATTGCGGGGGGAGGGGGCTCCAATTTATCTCCCCTCAGCGCCCGGCCTGCAGCGTTTCCAGCCAGGTTAAGAGAAAACGGGAAGTTCCCTGCGCGGCTGCTCTCTGAGCCGGGTCTCAGAAGGCCTCAGTGTGAGACAGTAGCTCTCTAGCTACCTCTTTATCCCCCCCCATCTGTCTGTCTGTCTGTCCAGCCCCACAGAGCCCCGCACTGGAACCCCCGTCTGTCTGTCTGTCTGTCTGTCTGTCTGTCTGTCTGTCTGTCTGTCTGTCTGTCTGTCTGTCTGTCTGTCTGTCTGTCTGTCTGTCTGTCTGTCTGTCTGTCTGTCTGTCTGTCTGTCTGTCTGTCTGTCTGTCTGTCTGTCTGTCTGTCTGTCTGTCTGTCTGTCTGTCTGTCTGTCTGTCTGTCTGTCTGTCTGTCTGTCTGTCTGTCTGTCTGTCTGTCTGTCTGTCTGTCTGTCTGTCTGTCTGTCTGTCTGTCTGTCTGTCTGTCTGTCTGTCTGTCTGTCTGTCTGTCTGTCTGTCTGTCTGTCTGTCTGTCTGTCTGTCTGTCTGTCTGTCTGTCTGTCTGTCTGTCTGTCTGTCTGTCTGTCTGTCTGTCTGTCTGTCTGTCTGTCTGTCTGTCTGTCTGTCTGTCTGTCTGTCTGTCTGTCTGTCTGTCTGTCTGTCTGTCTGTCTGTCTGTCTGTCTGTCTGTCTGTCTGTCTGTCTGTCCAGCCCCACAGAGCCCCGCACTGGAACCCCCGTCTGTCTGTCTGTCTGTCTGAGTGATACCCAGGTACCAGAGCCCAGCACCTGCCTGGCACCGGTCCTGCTGCTCTAAGCAGGGGCCCTTCTGCCCCCGTTAGCCATGCTGGTGGCTCTGCATGCCCGTGGCTCCCACGTTGTGCCCCCACCAGCCCCCATCGCGGAGGGGAGGCCGTGCAGCCCTGGCCCCACAGGTGCTGAGGGTGGCGGGGGGGCTCTCAGCCCCGGCTCTCCCCCTCCCCCCGCAGGACGTGGGCTCCCTGGACGAGAAGATGAGGAGCCTGGACGTGAACAGCGACGAGGAGCTGAAGTTCAGCGAGTACTGGCGGCTGGTCGGGGAGCTGGCCAAGGAGCTCAAGCGGGAGAAAGTGGGGAAGAAGAAGTGAGCGGGGCAGGGAGGGGCTGGGGGCCGGGCTGTGAATAAAGCGTCCCCTGGGCACCTGAGTGCGGCTCCGTTCCTTGGGGTGAAGGAGGGGCCGGGGTCCCCCGCCCAGTGCCAGGCCCCTGCCCCACACCCGCACGGCCGC